ATACTAAACTGCTCAAGATAGTAAAACCAAAGCAGTCTGTGAAGAGCTTCAAAAAGATCACACAAAACTAAGTGACTAGTCAATAAATTGCAAATGAAAGTTAATGTTGCTAAATGTAAAGTAATGCACATTGGGAAAAATAATCCCAACTACATATACAAAATGATAGGGTCCAATTTAGCTCCAAGAGAGAGATCTTGGAGTCATTGTGGATAGTTCTCTGAAAACATCCACTCAGGGCAGCGGCAGTGAAAAAAGCAAATAGAATGTTTGGAGTCATTAAAAAGGGGATAGAGAATAGGACAGAGAATAGCTTATTACTTCTATATAAAACCATGGCATGCCCACACTTTGAATACTGCGTACAGATGTGGTTGCCTCATCTCAAAAAAGATATATTGGCAGTGGAAAAGATTCAGAAAAGGGCAACAAAAATGACTAGGGCTGTGTCTACATTGGTGCGATCTTGCACAAAAGCAGCCGCTTTTGCACAAAAACTTGCTGCCTGTCTACACTGGCACCCACGCAAGAACACTGACGTTCTAATGTATGAAATCAGTGCTTCTTGCGCAAGAACTATGATGCTCCCGCTCAGGAATAAGACCTCTTGTGCAACTGTTCTTGCGCAAGAGGCCAGTGTAGACAGGCAACATGAATTTCTTGCGCAAGAAAGCCCTATGGTTAAAATGGCCACCAGAGCTTTCTTGCATAAGAGAGCCTCTACACTGGCATGGATGCTCTTGCGCAAAAGTACATCTTTTGCACAAACGCACATGCCAGGGTAGATGCTGTCTTCTGGAAGAGTTTTTGCACAAGAACTCTTCCGCAAAAGAGTTCTTGCACAAGATCATGCCAGTGTAGATGTAGTGCAGGGGTTTTGAACGGGTCCCATATGAAGAAAGATAAAAAAGACTGGGACTTTTCAGCTTAGAAAAGAGGAGACTAAGGGGGAATATGATAGAGGTCTATAAAATCATGACCAGTGTGGAAACAGTGAATAAGGAAAAGTTATTTACTTGTTTCCATCACATAAGAACTAGGGGTCACAAAATGAAATTAATAGGCAGCAGATTTAAAACAAAAGGAAGCTTTTCTTCACTTAGTGCACAGTCAACCTGTGGAACTCCTTGCCAGAGGATGTTGTGAAGACTAGGCATTTAACAGGGTTCAAAAAAGAACTAGATAAATTCATGGAGGTTAGGACCATCAATGGCTATTTGCCAGGATGGGCCAGAATGGTGTCCCTAGCCTCTCTGTCAGAGGCTGGAAATGGATGACAGAAGAGGGATCACTTGATGTTTCCCTGTTTCTGTTCATGTGCTCTGAGGCATCTGGCATTGGCCACTGTTGGAAGACAGGATACTGGTCTGACCGAGTATGGCCATTCTTATGTTCAGCTGTGGCAAAGCTTAGAAGGGGGGCTGTCCTAGGCAAAACAAGAGATATGATTCCCTTGTCCAGTGTAGAGAGTGGGGATGCAGGGAAGCTGCCTGTCCCAGGAATGGCCAGCTAAGACTTCATGTCCCAGGCTGGCATGGTCCCTGTGTTGAGCATGCTCTGGGCTCTGGGAGGCCAGACTGCAAGAAAGTGTGCAGAGCCAGGGGCCACGAGGCTAGTGCAGGCCATGGGGCAGCAAATTTGGCTGGAGGGGGACTTATGGGGGAGATGGGCCCATGCTCCAACAGGCTGGCAGTGGCCAGAGGATCCCAGGACGCAGGACAGATCTTTTGCGGGGACAGATGAGGATGAGCCTTTCTTCAGAGGTCCTGGCAGAGGGCAGCAAGGGAGGGGAGCTCCCCCCACAAAACCCAACCCGCCAGAGGGGGAATCTCTCCTCCCCACTCCCAACCAGAGTTAGGTTCTATCCCCCACAACCAGAGTCAGGCTCTATCCTCCCCAGCCAGAGGCGGTTCTATTCCCCACAGCCAGAGGTGGGTTCTATCCCGCCCCCAGCCAGAGGTGACTCTTTTCCCCCCCAGCCAGAGGTGGGTTCTATCACCTCCCAGCCAGAGGCGGTTCTATTCCCCCCCAGCCAGAGGCAGGTTCTATCCCCCTCACAGAGGCGGCTCTATCCCCCCCCAGCCAGAGGTGGGTTCTATC